CAGAAAAAGTCTAAAAACACATTGTAAATGTAATTAGACATGCTTCATATACTAAGCTTGAACCACACCCCATTGTTGCATTTCTTTCTTTTTACTACAATACCATCATGTTCAATGCTCAAACGAGCTATCATCTCTATTACAATAAACCAAAACTCATTCTTGCTGGGCTTGTTATTCAACAAATTGCATCCTTTTACTGCATCTGTCTTTTCATGCTATAAAAACTTTTTATTAATTCAGTTTTTTTCCTTGCACATCAAATTGCACATCTCACTTACCCATCTTCATGCTTTCCTTTTTTATACAACCTACAACTTTTTAAGTCTTCAGTTAATCGTTTCTTAGTATTTTAACTTATCCTCTATTTTAAATTAACTCAACTTTTTTTAGTGGTTGCTTGAAATCTTGCTGGAAGTAAATTAGAGTTTAAAAATATATAAATATATGCCAATGTTTAATAAATAGTAAACGTAAGCATAAAATTATAATATATAATATTATAAATTTTTTCTAGCCCCGACTATCAACAACTGCTAAACCTTATCATTTTGCCAGGGCTGCGGCTAAGTTTGCAAAAAGTCTCATCTTTGGCCAGGACTAATAACTTACAAGTTATTAGTCATTCTTGACTAATAACTGAATGACTAATAACTTACAAGTTATTAGTCATTCTTGCAAAATACCTCAATTAAGAAATGTGTTCTCTCATTATTTAATTTATAGATCATGTATTAGCTAAATTAAAAAATAAATTTGAATCACCAGAATGATTGAGTTATTGTTGAGTTTTGTACCTTCTATTATCTGCATAAAAACTTCAGTGGAGCTATCTAAAATAATACAAAAAACTACAATACATTTTGAAAGTGATCTCCCTAACTCTAATTTTCTTGATGAAGAAATAGTGGCAAAAAATGTGGCTTAGATGTCAACCAGAAAATCGACCCTTAAGTGCTGCTAGTGCTATTAAAGAATGTTGTCAGATAAGTTTTCAAATATTTACATTGTTCTTTATTTGTACACAAGAGCAATACAAAGACAATAACAACTTTCTGAATTAGCTTTAGTACACATCCACTATGATTATAATTTTAATTTAGATGCAGCTGTTAAAATGTTTGCAAAATTATATCTAAGAAGATTAGATTTTGTCTCCTTTCTTTTAGATGATTAACATTTGTTGCAACTAATTGAATACTTATCATTGAGACCAAATGTTTGCTGTTGATTTATTTTTTATTGATTACATAATATTTAAAAATTATGGGAAACTCCTCACAGTAATGCTGAATTGGAAAGGTTGTTAAGTATTGTAAAAAAACTAATGTCTTAAGATATTATCATAAAAGCAGGATGAGATATCAAGTATTTTAACTATGAAAAAAATCTCCCCTGATGCTAATATACAGTGTTTTTAATGAAAACCACCTGAAATGTTGTTGAAAACCTCAAAGAAAGCAACAAAAATTTATAATTATAAACAAAGTTATTTATCAAATATAACTTATCATATATTATTACTATACTATTACTATACTATTTTTTTTGTTTAGAAAAAAAAAACTTCTTACTTTTTTTTTTTGATTTTAATTTTTTTTTTTTTTAATTTTACATTTATTCAGGTTTATGTTTATATCTCAAGGTTTTTTTAATGAAAATGAAAAGTTCCTATGTTTATGTTTACCCTGGTGGTGTACCCTTGTGGTTGTCCGGTGGCATGGAATTACTCATTTTCTCCAAGGACAAAGGAAATAAAAAAAAAAGCTTATAAAATATTTTATTAATGAAACTATATTTTGATCCATAAAGATTTTATCATTTGTAATTATTTAAAAGAAAACTCTAAAAAGCATTTAAAGTAGTTAAAGGGTTGAAATAAGCGATCGCGAAATGCAAAATCTGGAAAAATATCTGGTCTTCAAAATTTATTTAGTTTATGCAAAACTGTGTAATTTGTTCTTTAAGGGGCAAATCAACTTAAATTTGATACTGAAAAATTTATAAAAAATCATATTTAAAACTTATCAAGAAACTTAAACAACTTTATAAAAACGTACTGTATAAAAAGTTCAGCATTATGAAAAACATTACTGATGGTACGTAGAAATCCGCGTTAATTTTAAAATCAACTAATGAAAACGTTTACTAATGAAAACTTTTTATCGGTTGATTTTTAAAAAACGCGTGTTTATGTGGACTATCAGAAACTATTTTCATAATGCTAAACTTTTTATAAAGTTTGTATTATAGAGTTGTTTACGTGTATTTGCAAAAGTTCCTGTAGTTTTTAATAATATTTGAATATCTACTTTATTTTTTCTAGATGCTTATCTACTTTGATTAAAGTTTGGAAATACTAATGTTGTTTAAACAAAGAATGAACTTTAAAAGTTATAAGTGCTTTATAAAAGTAATAACACCATCATAGTTTTATTACTTTTATAATGCAGTTAGTGACTAGAGTGTTATTACTTTTGTAGTTGTATGTTTGTTGTTTTTTTTTTAAATAGCTTTTTCGCTAACAAACTTATGATAATTTGCTCCTTGAAAACAAAATAAACGGCTTTGAACAAGATTCTGGTTGAGAAAACAAAAATATAGACACAGTGGTGTGTATAATTTGCTCCTTGAAAACAAAATAAACGGCTTTGCCGTTTATTTTGTTTTCAAGGAGCAAATTATCATAAGTTTGTTAGCGAAAAAGCTATTAAAAAAAAAAAAAAAAACAAACATACAACTACAAAAGTAATAACACTCTAGTCACTAACTGCATTATAAAAGTAATAAAACTATGATGGTGTTATTACTTTTATAAAGCACTTATAACTTTTAAAGTTCATTCTTTGTTTAAACAACATTAGTATTTCCAAAAATTTAAGAAAAAATCATTAGTTTTACCTGAGAAAAAAATACCAAAAAAAAAGCATTTACACCAAACTATTGATTATCATAAAAGACAACACAAATGAAAAATAAAAAGTTTTAGTCGCCAGAAGGGTGTCTGGGAAAAAACCAGAGGGTACACCACTGTGTCTATATTTTTGTTTTCTCAACCAGAATCTTGTTCATACTGACAATAAAACACAATGTAGTATATAATAAACTGGAGTTAATAATCAATTATCAGGAAAACCCTTTGATATTATGTAACAAAATAAACATAAGTAAAGCTTTTTCTTTTGAGTTTATCATAGAGGAGTATTTGACTTTATCAAAATCCTGGAAAATTTTTCTACGAAAATCCTGGAAAATTATTTTACTGAAAATTCATAAAAAATTGGCTTTAAAAAAATTAAAAGATTTTGGCATGTTTGCCCTACAATATTTGTACAAGGGGTATTAGTGTTCTAAAATTAAAAAAAGATCCTGTAAGTTATGTAATAAACGTTTTCTTACTGGTCTGTTTGTCCGTAACTCATTCTGTTTTGTCAGGCATGACCAACAAAACCTAAAAAAACATAATTCAGTTGCTATTTTCACAACGTTTGGAAACAAATGTTTTGATTTTTAGGTAAAAAAAAAACAGAAAAAAAAACAAAAAAAACTGCACTAATTTCAATTCACTTTGGGTATGTATGTATGTATGTATGTATGTATGTATGTATGTATGTATGTATGTATGTATCTATATATATATATATATATATATATATATATATATATATATATATATATATATATATATATATATATATATATATATATATATATATATATATATATATATATATATATATATATATATATATATATATATATATATATATATATATATATATATATATCAGGGCTATTCTAGGAAAAAAATTTTTGTTCAGGCATAACTTAGCGGAAAATCAGCATTTTTTTTGGAAAAGAAAATATTTGCCTTAAAAAACATAAGAAAAAAAAAAAAAGGTCCTCAAATTAAATTTGGGTGAAGCCCAAAAATGATTGATGCTGTTGAAACAGTCTAGAATAGCCCCTGTATATATACATACATATATTTTTTATTTATAATATATAAATATAATAAATATAAATATATATATATATATATATATATATATATATATATATATATTCTTTTGTTTAAATTATACAAAAGAAATAGTTAATTCCACAAAGCTTGCATTTTTCTTAAGAATTTAATTAGCTGTTAAATTTTTAACAAATGAATTAAAAACATTTAAATGAGTTTGTTAAATCTTTTTTATAGAGGGGCAAAGTAAAGGTTTAAAAAATTTGAAGATAACATTGATTACTACATATTAGTGGTAGCAGATGGTTTCATATGAATTGGAAATATTTCCTATTAAAATTTTTATGATAGTAATCATACAAATTTTAAAATAAAGTATTTCCTACCCATATGAATCCAATCCTAGTATAAAATGCATAAAGTTTATAAATTTTTACTGTAAAATTTCATTGATTTTAGATTTTTATAAGTTCGAAAGAGCACATGTTCCTTACCCTAATATTATATATTTGTTGTAACCAAGTATTATTAAAACATTTTTAAAAATAAAAATATTTAGAAGAATGATACGATTTTGATACAAGTGAGTGCTAAATCACCACCACCACGTCCATCCTAAATTCTGAGATTAAATATTTAGTAGAAGTCTGGATTAAAAGTATATTAACTTTAAGTAAATAAAATAAAGGATTTTATTACTATTTTTAATATACAAATATGCTTATTTTAATGGGCCTCTAACCCTCTGGATATCCTATATGACTAGAGATCAATGTAAATTAATATAAAACTTAACAAAAAGACTAGAGACCAATTTAAATTTGCAGCTTAAATTTCAAATCAGTTTTTTCAAGAAATTTATATATTTAAAACATGTCATTCAAAACCTTAAAACTTTTTTCAAAAAATTGTAGAATTTTGATAAATTTTTCACCTATAAAATATGTAAATTTATGTTAACTATTTAAATAACCTAAAACTTATTTTAATTATTTAAATAAACTTTATGCCATACCCTACTATAAATACTACTCACCATTAAAACTCCGCTTGAAACTGTACATGGTGAACAAAAATAAACCACTAATCCAGTTTTAAACGATTGAGTTCCTAAAGAGCTGCTTATTTTATGAAACGGAATTAGCATAGTAAGTTGAGAACCAATAATACAAGAAAAGAAGAGAATGCTTATGAATCCCCAAGCAGCAGCTTTATATGCTTTAATAGAATCTTTAATTGCAGATGATGGCAAGTATAAACCACTGTATAAAAATATAAAAACAAGACAAATATAGGTAGTTGATTTATGGTTTAATGTATTTCCTACTTGTGGTAAAAATATACCAATTAAAAGTGCAGCTATAAAAGATATCGGAAGAAAATTATTTAATAATAAATGCTCAAGCTTATTAATTGCTTTATGTGAAAAGTTTTTTTTTTCATTTTTTGAATTATTTTTTTCTGACAATATTTCTACATGCGTAAATTCTTTGGAGATTTTTTGTTCATTTTCTTTTATTTCATCTTTATTTCTTGCTTCATCTGTAAAATCATTTGAAAAATGCTCATTATTATGATGCTTATTTAAATTACAATCAAGTACTGAATCCTCTATATTAGAATTAACAGAGTTGATTATAACATTTCTGAAATTATCTTTATCATTTGAAAGCTCGTCACAATCACTGTTAAGGGGCCCATAGTCAGATTTGATAATGTACTTGTCGCTATTACTTCTGGAATAGTTTTCAGTATTATCGTTAGCAAAGTTATCAACACCAATAGAAATTTGGTTTGCTACATCCGTTAGGTTACTTTTATTAATATAGGCATTATGACTTTCTAAGTCAATTACTTTCTCACAATCATCATTAGCCACATTACAAATGACAGTAGAGTGCTCTGACATGATGTTTTAACTTCACCTTGCGCTTTTTTTTACTGTTTAACGCTGTAATCTGGGTCCGCGAAAATTTATATTCCAGACCAAGGGATCGTCCATATATTACGTAACGCAAACTTTCACAATAAACGAAACAGAAAAGGTCAAAGGTTTTCCTTCGCAGAGTCTTAATTAAAATAAAAATTAAATTAGCTGATTAAGATTAATGACAATCGCCGCGTAAAAGAGCTTAGTATCTCCTACTTATGTTTTTTAAATATATTTTGCGTTGCGTAATATGTGGACGATCCCGTTAAAATTTATGGCCCGATCAGTTGATAATTTTGGTCCACTTTAAACCGTTCATTAATTTTGATATTTGCGCGCCATTGAAGTTAATAACGGACCAAAATTTCGTAAAAATTACTAAATTAAAATTAATTAAATTTATAACTAAATTAATTAAATATTAATTAAATTAAAATTAAATTATTATTTATAAATTTAAAGTTTAAGCTATCTAAGTTGAAATAAAAAATTAGAGATGTAAAAGTGACAAGAGGGGTTGAATGAAAGGAGGTTAGGAATTTTAGTCCATATCTAATAGACGCGGAAGCGGGGGTTTAATTAAAGGCGGAAGGAGGGTAAAAGGAAATTTTTAACTATCTTTAAAATAAAAATGTAAAAAAAATTTAAACTTTTTTAATTTGTAAACTATTTAATTTTAGCGTGACTTGAAGTCAAATGCACATTTTCTAACAGCTGTTTTATCATAATTTCAATTGGATTTAGTATGCTGATATAACTTTTATACTTTGATAATAAATAAATCAAAAGTTCATTTTCGACAAATCGAGATTTACTTGGTCAAAGATTTTCAAAGCCTGTTTACACTGATTGTTTTTGTTTTTATTGGTGACTGAAATAATTATATTCTAATTTTTAAGTCCAATTTTCGGTGAATTTTTTTTTAATTTTGAGGTATAATGTTTTTGCTGACAGCAAATAAAAATTAATAAACAAGGAGGGGGGGGGGAGTTCTTAATAAGTTAAGGATGGATGGTAAGTTTTCCAAAAATTAATAAACCGCTTTCTCCCCCTCCCCCTTTCCTTTTGTATTAAGGACTTGGGAATAATACACTTAAGTTGTAACTTAGCTTTTGTTTTGCTTCGCCAAATGTTTGCTAATTATCGCAGCAGTTGTCTTTGTCTTTAATAAACGAAGTCTTCTAAAGTCTAAACGAAGAAAAAAAAATGAAAAACGTAAAAACAGTTTTAACAGCTGTTGTGTAAACAGCTGCTGTGCATGCTAATCTAACAGTGTTTTATTTTATTTATGAGTGATTATCAGCACATAATGTTTATAAACTCAGGATGTGGTATAATACTGATGTTATTTTAAGAATAAGTTTAAATGGAAATATTAAATTTTTATGAAACCATGAAAAATTTTTTCTTTTGAGTGTGATAAGATGAAAATCAAGAGTTTTTTGTATTTAATACAACTAAAAAAGTTGACCTAATAGAAATGGGATTTTTAAATATCGCTTTTAGGGATGGCAATCCCGGGATCCCGAGATCCAGAAATCCCTGGATTCCGTACAAATTGTTCGTCCCGAAATCCCTGAATTAGTCTTCGAAATTTCCCGGAACTTCGGCATTGTCATTAAAAAAGTAAAATTACAAAAACTTTAAGGCTAACTGGTAACTAAGAAATTTGTGCATCATAAAATGTAAATACAGGCTTTGGAATTGTTGCTGCTTGGTTTTGTAGCTGTTTATCCTCTTTGAAATGTTTTTTTTTATTCTCCCTCGTTCTGTATTCTATCGAAAATGCAAACTTAAAACATTATTGCTCATCTGCAGCATACTATATATACATTTTTTATATGTTTAATAGTACATATATTGTACCATAGGCATTTAAAAAATGTGTATTTAGTATAATATTAAAACTAATATATTATTAAAAATAAATAGAATTTTGGAAGCTAAAACAATTTTAAAAGAAGAAATAACTTTTTATTTTGAATTTTCTAATTCATTTTAATTCCAATGTTTGCATGATTTTAATTTCATTTTTATGTCCACTCAATTTAATTACAAATTTGTGCGTGATTTACATAAGTTTTTTTTAACCATCGGTTTAAATAATGAAGTTATCAAAATACAGAAGGTTTATTAAATTACAAAAGTTTACTTAACGTCCGTTCAATTGATGAAGTTATCCAAATACAAAAGGTTTATTAAATAAACTTTAGTTATCGTTATTTTGAGTAGAAATTTGTTTTTGAAGAGGAGGATTATATTCAAGATTCAAATGATCCATTGTTAATTAATGAAACATCTGAAGTTAAAATTAGTCACCAAGTTATTGGATAAACCAATAACTTGGTGACTAATTTTTACAATTTTGCTGACAAAAACGTCAGCAAATTTGTAAAAATGTTTAAAATGTTCCCAAACAAAAATGAAAACTATTTACAAAAGTACGTAAAAATTGAGTTGACAAAAATCATCCATCCATTTAATCATAGGTTGTAAAAACCGATAGAGCAGCTTGTTGCTTATACTAGACTTTGTGAAGCTAATATTAAAAAAATTGTGTTAAAAAGGCATTTCTAGATATAGATTTGGACTCCAACATCAATGATTCAATTAAGATAAACGAGATAGAATTAAGAATGATATCTGATTTAGTAGTCCTTTTACTCACAATAAAGCAACTTTGATACTTTATTGTGAGTAAAAGGACTACTAAATCAGATCACTTATAAAATCAATTTACTTATTTCTTCTAACTAAAAAATAAAAGTTTATGTTGACAAAAATAAAAGAACAAAAATCGGAAAACAGTTGTGTGATGCATTGAGTCACCGAATTTAAGAGTGGAGAACACCGTTGAGGAGCTTAGTTTATCTTCATAGCCAGATTACTTTATTAAAAGTCACAGAAGTTTTTCTATCAAATACAATTACCCAAAATACAAAAAATTTTGATAAACCTGATAAAGTGTTGAAACTCAGCAGATATAATAACAACAGCAGACTTAAGTTGAATAATGTCAAAACAGTTAAAATGAACAAATTAAATGAAGTGATGAAAAAAAGATTGGAAGCAATATGAACACAAACCATAAAGGTAAAAAATAACTTTTAAAATTCAAAAAGAAATACTGCTATTTGAATTTAGGAGCTTAAGATGTGATCACCTTTAAAAAAATGATTATATATTATCTAAGCGGCCAACAAGTATGGAGTCTGAAAGAGCATTTTTTTAGGTTAAAGAACATGTGATGACGTGGTCACAAATTTTAAATGTATATAAATGGGATCTTGGCATGTTTTATTATGATGTTGGTCTTTAAATTGGGCATAAACTCAGAGAAAAGCGTATTGAATTTATTCACAGTCAAAATTGCTTCTAAATTTAGCTGCAGAAGTAAAGGTGCATACTTTTTTAAACCAAAAAGAGTAAAATGTATTTTTTTTTTTAATAATGATTATATTTGAATTTTTTAGATTTGAATTTTGCTGGTGATCAATAATTACGTAAATTATCATGGTAGAATGCAGAAAAATTGACAAGTTGATGCAATATCTTTGAGGTTCACCTTGCACCACTATTAAAAAAATTTGACTGATTTTAGAGAATTTATCAAAAAAATTTGAGTTAGCGAGTTTAGTTAGCAAATTAGTGTTTACATACTTTATAAGCGCCGTCCGGCTTAAGTGAAATTGATTACGACTTTCTATTGTATTATGAGCAAAAGATTTTACGTATGGTTTTAGGAATTTCAATAGCGTTGCACTTTCATCTCTAACACTTCTATGTTTGGAGTAAGTAAGTAAAACGAAATTTTAAAGTGAAAAAAAGACAGCGAACGTTATTAATTAAAGACAAATTAAGATAGTGCATTAAGTTTTATTTTATATAATTAAAATTACTTTTTTAAAATTACTTTTTTAGGAACTAATAATAACAACAGAATAAAATTAAATAAAAATATTTTTAGGATTATATATAAAAAGGATTTCCTTATTGAATTAAGAAAGTCTTTTTTGTAAACAATCCTAATTATATTTATTTTAATTCTACTTACTTAGTTACAAAGGCTTGGTAACTAAGTCTAAGTAACTTAGTAACTTAGTTTAAGTAAATGAAAATTATGTATGTAAATTATTTAAATTACTAAGATTATCATTATTAGTTGAAATAGTTTACATACATAATTAAATAAATATAATGAATCTTTCATTAACATTAGTCTAATGTATTTGAAAATTTTAAATTGATCGAACAGTATGTTGAAATAAAGATTCTTATTATGAACATACTGTTTGATCAGTTTAAAAGTTTCATGCTGTGTAACATGCTTATATCATCATATAGTTCTTATTCATAGAAGTGTTGTTATTATAAGCTCTTAAATATTTCAAGTGCTTAAATATATTGCTTTGATAAAAGCATTTAGAAAAGTCCTTTTATATATAATCCTAATTATATTTATTTTAATTCTACTTATTTATACTTAGTATATGTACTTAGTATATACACATAGTATATATAACTGTAAGACTTATGATAACAACAATTTTCTAAGTGACATTAAATTTTAGTAAAATCTGTGTAATCTGTAAATCCTAGTACATTTACTAAGCACGTAGAATTTACTAAAATTTATTAAGATACATAGTAAATAGTTATTAAGTCTTACTGTAATTATTATTAGTTTCTAAATGTTTGCTTTTATAGAAACATTCTTTTTTATGTATAATCCTGATTATTAATATAATTAGGATTTAATTCCACTTTATTCAATAATATTAAAATAAATAATAGAGACGGCATGCAGGGAGTGCTCTCCCTAAATCAGTCAATTGATCTACCCTAGCCCTAATATACACTCCACTGTGTGTTCTCTCTAAGTCATTTGATAGATATTTTCCCTAAATTGGTGTAAATAAAAACTCCACTTGTACAATTTATACTTTTTAAAAGTATAAACTTTTATGAATTTAGGTTTACTATATTAATCATAAACCTACAGTTAGGGAAAAGTTGAATTCAACTTAATTAAGGTAGGAATAGTTTTATATACAATCGTTTTAC